TGTGTCCCCACTAACAACAAACTCTTATATGATCTGTACAGGCACGATTGTGAATCATTCGAAAACAATTGTTCGTCTTCGGACTTGTGTTCTGATGTTACAATGGGATTATTTCGGAATTTGGATTCCTGAAATGTTAGAGAGCACTCGGGTTCTGTTACCGTGTTCCAGATCTTGGCGTCGTCTGCAAACAGCATATGATACAGCATTCAATGAAGTGGACATTCTAAAGCCTAGTGAACTTCTGAATCTGGGAGCCTTCAACATGAGGACTTATACGCATGTTGATGGACAAGCTCGTCTAGCTGGTACAACGTATTCACTAGCGATTGCTGTTCACCGTATACCAAGCATTAAAACTCGATATTCTAGCAATGTAAGCCATTTAAGTGCGCCGAGTTCATCTTCACGATACATCTTGTTCACTTCAGTAAACGGCGAGGTTCGTTCAATAATTCAGCGTTGACATTGTAGTGAACGAAGCCGAAGCGTCACTTGTCAGTTGAATTTCCGTCAACAGTCACTTGTGTGCGGTGTGGCTCCAGAGATCAATCGGTGTTAGAAAAGAAGGCCACACCGAAAGCTTATCATTCATCATCTTAACATCTGCTCCCATTAATAGATGAACATAAGGATGTATTCTACAACGAACTCACTGATATCATCCGGCTAAACAGAGGGCTCCAATTTTGTTTGGCGAGCAGGTCGCTTGACCACTCAGTTGTCAGCTCAGCTTAAATAGCCGTCAACCACGCACTCTCGTGCCACGGCTTGCTGTCTTTTGGCTATTCATTTGCATGAAGGGGCATAAAGAAAGCTTGGATGTCGCCATTGTTTGCGACACTCAGCCATATCACTCGATCTTTTTAACCAAAGATTAGCCTGGCCCTGAGGCCCCTATTCAGGAAGCCTAACGCGACTTATGTGAACAAGGTTTTTATACCCTCTTACCGGGTCTTAGTTGGAATACCGTGATAACCTATTTGTTGACATGTGCAACACCTGTCCCAACCGGCGCAATCTATGGAAGTGGACGACTTGGATCTTCACTTAACAGTACAATGTCGTCAGCATACTCCAGATCAGACAGTTTGTCATCTGAGAGCAAATCGATGTCGATATCCTCGAATGTGGACGGTATTGTTTCAAGAATAAATTCTGTTAGGAAGTTGTGTAGAAGTGAAAAGAGCGGGCCAGCATGATAAACAGCGCTTTCAGGGATGAATTGTGTTGAAAAAGTGCCATACGGTGGAACTCTCTTTCATCTATCAGTCTTCATGGATCGTAATATTGAAGTCAACTTTGTGGGTACATTCTTCAAGAAGAAGAACAAGCATCCGAGTATAGATTAATCGGAATCGAAAGTTGCTTTCAGACCATGGAGTGAGTCTGCTAAAGATATATCTGTGTGGCATTATTTGGCGAATGTCTATCAACGTGGTCGTTGGGCCCTATCATGCCAGCGAACTTTGTAAGTACAATGAATAAAAGGAAGCATAGTTTTATATTATTTTCTAAAAGCGGTTGACAAACATCAGGGCGGATCGTTTAGATAGTCTGTCTGTGAGGCTTGACCTTTGCAGGTTATCCTATATCCCGTTTTGTGAATAAAAAATCAGAACGAAATGAATCAGTTTTAGCCAGATACTTTCTGTTCCCCCAGTTGATTGAAGGTCGTCCCAGTAAGGTGGGTATCACCCTGCGAATTTTCGAGGCATCCTATATTTCCCTGGAGCTGTTTCGTTCTTGAGAAATTCGCCGTGTCAAAAGCCGGTCCTTCAGGAAGTGCTGTCGATATATTTTTCAAGTGCACCGGACACAAGTCACATTTGGGAAGGGAATCATAGGCGTTTATATATAATCTTGAACCAATCTGTCCGGTTTGCAAAACGAAATTCTTATACTGTGTTGGAGTGTTGTTTGAATTAATCATTTGTTTTAATGCATCAATTGTGTTTTTATGCTTGGTCCATGTAAGACTTTAATTTTCCCCCTTCAAACAATCTGTTTGGTTCAGCGTTATATATAAATGCCTATGATTCCTTCCCAAAATGTGATTCCTATCCAGTGGACTAGAGGAAATATGTCGAGAGCATTTCCTGAAGAACTGACTTTTGACATATACGGACCAATCATAAAAACAATTCATGCAGTAAAACAAACGATCAATACAAACAACACTTTCCAACACACGGTGGCAATGGGTTTTTGGGGGCAGACTAAGTGCCTCACAGTCATCCTCTGTATCAGACGTTGATGGAACGCTGTATAATGACGGGAAACTGACCGTCTTTTCTCTTTTTCACTAGGATTACGTGAACCATTTAGTATCGTAGAGTTGATTCGAATGGCTTTCGCTTACCATATTCACGCCTAATCGTAGCTGGAAATGAGCCGCTGAATACATGAGCCTTGAAGGTATGATTAAAAACCAATTCTACTCATTGAAATGAAAAGCTGATGGTATCTGGACTTCCTTTTTGCGGTCTACTCAAATCTCCTCACAGCCTTTCTGCATCTAAAGAAAAGAAAGAACGGTGTGTGACATTTTTTTAAACATGCTTGTGAGACCTTAAAACGAGGACATGGAGAACAAAGAAGGACATTCACTTTGAGTTCTGTTTCGTTCTAATAAGATGCAAAATGAACTTGTCAACATTCTTAAGTATTCTCACTCCAAATTAATATACACGAGGAGGAGGATTTCATCAATTGAAAACCTGTTGCCCAACAGCTATCAATGCAAATTAATCGTTGAACGCAAAGCAGAACCTGTTCCAGTTGCGATCCAGTTCGGTATAGCACGAACAGCCTAAGATTTGTATTTCCGTGATCGATTTTAACATCACGTTGATCACAATATCTCTCCCGATTTGGATCAGTTCAATTACGCCTACGCAGACGGAACAGACTGATCCTTAGTCCAAGGGGTGCCAGAGCATATTCTGAGGTTGTTGATAAACTCGATGACGCAACGTTTTTAAACAACCCGGTCCTCTTTACGGGATGTGTTTACGGGTCATCAGGTTGGCCTGATCCTAACGCTTTAAGTCATGTTATTCAATCACTATTCGGAACGCATTACATTTTATGAAGCCATTTTGATCACCATTGTGCGATGAACGACAGAATGGTAAACCTCATATTCACGGGATAGTACTGTTCATTCATGATAACCGATAGCCTGAGCCTGAGGACTTAGGTTGCCAAACCACACAGCTCCGTTAGGAGGAGCCCGTTATTTAGGCGACCACCAAAACCTTGCTGTTTCGTGGCCGAAAACCAGAACCAGTATATATCGATATACGTTTACCGTCACTGTAATAAATTATAAGGCCCATAAATTGGGTGGTCCAGCTATCTGGTTCATCCAATCCCTTAGTTACGGGCTATTTAGTATTGCCAAAAGAAAATTCGAAAATATTGATTAATTGGTTTCAGAAACTTCCATATTGCACCAAGAAAATGGAGTCACAATAACTGGTATTTTTGAGGACGTCTGTCTTGCTTTAATCTGTCGCTATATGGCACATAACGAGAACAGTGAGCTGATGAACCGCGTGAAAATTAAACGATAATAAGATGGCGATAGGCTTTCTACTACCAGCTTGAAGTTTGAAGGGAGCGATGGGGTCTCAGCTCAATATTTCACAAACCGGTGCATGTCTGTAATGGTGACTGCTCAGTCGCACGCTCAGCTTATATTTCATTGCCTCGATGGACCCCTTAGAAGATATAAGTAATATTTTGTGCACAAAGTGTACGTTGATCAACCGCTTTGAGATGGATTCCGGTTAATCCCTTTGTGAACTTGATGATTTTATGATGAGATCACTTTAGTGCTCTTTTCACGTAATTATTTGTTAGAAGCAAATTATGTTACTAATAAATTGGTTTCATAATCAATAGTGACTAAACCACGCTGTCTCATCCGGGCCCCGGGGACACTTCATGCTTAACCTTGTACCATTCGTTTAGACTGTTTCATGATGTGAAGTTCTATTATTTTTCGTAATTCTCACTTTTGTTTTCTTTCTACCAGAAACAAGCGCCCCCATCTTCAGACGTATTAACGTCGAATGTGAACGTGGATGAGGAATCCCTTCCCTTTCGTCCCGGATCGGTGGACTTAATGTTGAGCTGTTTGAGGTAACGCATTTCATGAATCAAGCATCTTTTTTTGTGTGAGTTGTTCAATAGTGGATGTGTTTCTGAAGCTCAATTCATTCAGCAAATAGTTCTCTCTTGGAATCGAGTGCGAAATGAATGTAGTTGGAGTTTTTCATCCGAGGTGGCTTCAATCAAATATGGTTACGAATTTGTCGTATCCGATCACCCCCAATGTCCGCACTTGGTTGTAGTTGACCCATGGTGNTAGTTTATTCCTATTGGTTTCCGTTTTTACCATCATTAATCATGCACTTTCGCTCACCAGTTTTGGTTGCGGTCTCATAGCTTCTCATTTGGATGAAGAAGTGAAGGGAAGATAGAAATGCTCAACTCAGTGTCAGAGCGAAACAAGGGAATTCACGAAGACTACGTTCCTAAAGAACACCACACCACTGTTTACGATACTCAACCATATCACTGAGTGTCTCTAGCCATTGATTACTCCGATCCCAATGTTCCTATCCAGGAAGCCTAACGCGGTCTATGTGAGTAAGTTTCCTGGTCTGGATTTTCACACCGTCATGCCAGGCCAGAGTTTAACCANCAATCAACACCTGCCTCAGCAAACAGCACATGCCGTGGCAATCTATTTGGTGGAATGCGCAACACATTCCAACCAACGCAGTCTATGGAGGTCGACCGGCTGCTCCAGTGGGTGGCTGCAAATGACTACAACTCTACGCCCAGCCTCAGCATTGCTTGTTTGGTTTCCCCACCGGACTCGCGCAATGCGACGTAGACAGCGATGTTCCAACACCAACCGTCTATCTTTAACCTGTTTTCTTAGTGGCCTGGTTTATGCGCTATATATCAGAACTGGACGAAATGCTGCAGCGTATACTCAATCCTTCAGAGGCAGCCAGATTTCGCTACGAAGCCACAAATGTCTTGTTTTGGCAAGTGCCAATCAAGTCTTCTGTTTCCGTATCGGTATTTCGTCCCTGATGCGTGCACCAAGTGAGATATAGCTGCCCAAGTAGCAAAGTTTGTTCGCTACTTCTATCAATTCCCCAGTTAGAGTGACGCTGGGTGCTGGACTAACTCAGTCTTGTATTAATTTTCACACTTTGAAGGTGCAAAACGCATACGGAACATGTTTACGCTGATACTGAAACTATTGAGAAATGCTTGCAACTTATCTGGATCTTCACTTAGCAGCACAATATCGTCTGCGTACTCCAGATGAGGCAGTCTGCCATCTGGGAGCAAATTGATGCCGTTACGAGGATAGGGCTGTTTGTATAATCAAATATATAACAAAGTTAAATAGAAGTGGAGAAAGGGCAGCTCGGACGAATACTACTTTCTGTAGTGAACTCGGGTGAAAAAGTGCCGTAAGCTCAAACTCGACTTCGGCTGTTAGTATAAAGGGTTTGCAAAATTGGAATGAACTTCTCGGTCACAGCACCAGAGTTTAGAGCGGTCAACTGAGCCGAAAGCCGCTTTCAGATCGAGGAAGACACAACTGGTGTCCGTGTCCTAAAATTCGACGAAGAGTGAGGATGTGATTTATACAACCTCGACCAGGTCTAAAACCAGCCTGGTTCTCACGTGCGGCAGACAATCGACGGAATATATTACCAACAAGAGGTTTGGAGACGAATAAACTAATTCCTCTGTGGTTTTGACAAGAGGATCCGTCACCTTTCTTGTAGATCGGCATGATGATCAATTCATCGATCCCGTTCCTCTCCCATAATGAGCCCAGGAGTTTCGTCAACTCCAAGACTAGCGCCGAACCCTTGCCGATGGAAACAACCCATTTGGGTCTGAGTCCTTATACCTTTTGAAATAACTTGTTTCCCTGGAAGCCTTCATCTCTGATGGAGGACTAGCATCAACCGGGAGTATTTGCCTGGTCGAACGAGGGCGGGGGGAATGATAGGTCAGATGTCAATGGGGGCCAGTTGGAATGAGCCTCAAAGCGTTCCCCCATCTATCAAGACCGTGATGCTGATGACAAATCAGTGTCGTGTTGGATTCATTATTTACCTCACACTTATTTTCACGGGGCCCGTGTTCCTAATGAGACAGAAAAGATTGCGACTATTACGGATAGCTGAACCTTTTCCACCTTCCTACACTTCTCTATCCGCCACTTCTAGCGGTCATTCCTCAAGCTCTTGATGAGTTGGCGTTTAAGGGCTTTGCGCGCTGTGTCAAATTTTGCATCAGGAGGAATAGTTCTGCGGGCGTTCAACAAGGCAACCGAGGTTGAGGATATCCATCGTTTGCTTTTTGATCGAGCTCCAGAATCCGACGTTGTTTTGATTGACATTTAGCTAGCTTATTTGTTTGACTCTGTGTTCATTGAGTCCTTCAGTGATTGATTGATCGTCTGACCACCACCACCCTTGGAAAGTGACGTCAAGTCGCATTTGTGTTGTGTATCCCGCAGGTGAGAAAAAACTACTTAGGATAATATCAAGCAAGACGAGCGAGGTTTAAGTGAAGACAGGAAGAGAAGTGCTAAGAAGGGGCACATGAGAAGACATCAGGAATTTTCCTGTTCTATGTGAAAATGGTATTAGCGTAAATCTGTTGACGTGCATGATATTCTCATTCGAGCAATGCAATCAAATACTGTATCTAACGGAATGGACTTCGTGTGTTCAATTACACCTAGTTAAGGGGAGCTTATGTGCTACAATTTTCTATATCACTGTGAGTCATTTTGTGGTCCCATACTGTCATCAGTAGGATGTTACATGAAGCAC